GCATTTGCCCAATTACATTTATTGTTTTAATTGTTATATTGACTTTGCTTTATCACATTTTTCTTTTCCTGCTCTTTGTTGTTGTTTTTGTTTTAATTTGCATGACATCTTTTTAGTTAACGTCACACCTAAAATCCTAGCTCAGGGTTTGAACTGCTGACCTTATGGTTTGGAGCTCAGTGTTTATTGTACAGAGCCACCACTCTTCCCTTAATTCTATTACTGATTACTTAATTTTTTTAAAGCATTTAAAAACCAATATTGGACTTCGAGGTTAACAGCAGAATTGTTGTTGCTGTTGTTAAATACTGTTGAATCACTTCTGACTCATAGTGACCTGATACGGGGTTTCTGAGGAGCGGCTGATGACTTTGAATCACTAACTTTGCAGCTCAAACCGACCTTGAGATGGAATGCTATCCTATGGTGCCACAACAGAACAGCAGTAGTCTTCCCTTAATTGAAGATTAAGAGTTTGGCTCCCCGGTGTCAATCTACTACCTCAAATCAAACAAAAAACAAACCCAGCTCTGGTAGCATAGTGGTTACAAGTCGGGTTGCTAACCTCAAGGTCAGCAGTTTGAAATGATCAGCCATTCTGCAGGAGAAAGATGAAGCTCTCTGCTCCCATAAAGATCCCACGGCACACAACTACCACCACCGTTGAGTCAATTCTGAGACGTAAATCTTTCAAGAGCAGTCATTTTCATTTTTCTCCCAAGGAGCTGCAACTGAGTTTTAACCACTGACCTTGCAGTTAGTAATACAGTGCTTATCCTAGAGTGCCACTGGGACTGTATTCTACTACTCTAGATTTGTCCATTAAGTTCACACTTAATCACACCATTTTCTCTTTTCCATATGGAACGCATTACATGTTATTTTTTTAAAATGTATTTAAGGCAATTGTTCAGATTTGTAACTGTTTTAATTCTCATTGTCAGCCCCTTTCAGCTGTAATTTCCTCATTCTTGTTCTAATCTTATCTTTCTCTCATTATTCTGGATAATATCTTTAACTTAGTATTCTCAGGGAAATATCAGAGTACCAGGTTTTCTAAATCTTGGCCCATATGTGAATATTTTATAAACATTTCATTTCATAAAAGAATGGCTGTAGGGGGACATATTAGAATCTCCAAACGTCACATCCCTCTGGACATCCCAATTGCTGCCTTTAAGGTCATGTTCTTCATACTTCTTCTTAAGTGACATCTAGTCAGTTCCAACTCATGATGACTGAATAGGGTTTCCAAGGAGTTGATAGGTTTGAAAGAATGATCTTTTGGTTGGCAGTTCCATGCTTACCCTACAGCACCACATATTCACCCTTAGCCAAGAATTTTTGTGAAGGTAACAGAGTCAGGGGCCCCGGCTTGTATTCTCAGGTGAAGGAGTCAAGGTGGTACAGTGAATAAATGTTTGGCTACTGTCAACAGTCTGAGTCTACCAGTTGCTCTACAGGAGACAATATCTGGCAATCTGTTACTATAAAGATTACATAGGAAAGCCTATGAAGTATTTCCACTTTATTATATACGCTGGGTTTTGGTAGTTCTGGTGCATTCTCATAGCCACTCTCTATAGGGATTCCTCCAAGGCTATAAATTCTTATGGAAGCAGAAAAGCCTCATCCTTCTCCCAACGAGCATTTGATGGACTCAAACTGTTCTGAGGTTAGCAGCCAACAGTACAACCTATTACTCCACCAGGGCTCCTGTCATAGCTCGTCCCTAAAGTCAGAATAGACCAAGAAGCAACTGCTAGAACAGAACAAGAGGATACTGGATGATTTAAAATCAGGGAAAGGTGTGTGCTAGGGTTGTATCCTTTCACCATACTTATTCAGTCTGTATGCTGAGCAAATAATTAAAGAAGCTGGATTATATGAAGAAGAACATGGCATCAGGATTGGAGGAAGACACATTAACAACCTGACCTGTGATATGCAAATGATACTTCGTTTGCTAAAGTTAAGAGGATTTAAAATACTTACTTTTAGTATGAATGGAATCAATGGAAAGAAAGCATAAATCCTCATAACTAGACCAATAAATAATATCATGATAAATGGAGAAAAGACTGAAATTGTCAAGGACTTGATTTTGCTTGGATCCACCATCACCACTCACGGAAGCAGTAGACAAGAAGTCAAATGACATACATTGTTAGGCAAATCTGCTGCAAAAAAGAAAGAGATCAGTTTGAGGACTAAGATGCACCTGACCCAAGCCAGAAATTTTTCAGTCGTCTCATATGCATGTCCAAATTGGATAATGAATAAGGAAGACTGGAGAAGAATTGATGCACTTGAATTACAGTATTGGAGAAGAATAGTAGAAGTACCATAGACTGCCAGAAGAACAAACAAATCTGTTTTGTTAGAAATACAGTTAGAACACTCCTTAGAAACCAAGATAGCAAGACTTCGTCTCTCATACTTTTTGGACATGTTATCAGGAGGGACCAGTTCCTGGAGAACATCATGTTTGGTAAAGTGGAGGGTCAGTGAAAAAGAGGAAGACCCCCAACAAGATGGACTGACACCATGAGAGCAGCAATGACCTCAAACCTAACAAGAATTGTGAGGATGGCTTAGCACAGGGAAGTGTTTCATTTTTCGGTACACAGCATTGCTGCGAGTCAGAAAACCAACTAAAAAAGATAAACTAACATCAGGATATTCAAACAGAACTCATCTACAGGCAAATGTGTAGTTGACTACTGGACATTTCCACCTTTCTTGATGGACTGAGCATATGAGTACAGAGTCCCTTGCAAAGGGACTTGAGGGAATAGGAAAAGGCCAAAACCCAAGACCATACTTATTTCTGGCAGCTTAAACTCAGAATGTCCTGTATTGTAAGCCAACTGGATTCCCTAAATCTTTTCCAAACTTGTTGCTGACAAACTACATCTTTTCCCATCTTATTCTGTATATGTTTTTCTATTTTTAATCCAAGAGCATGCCTTTACTTTTTACTCTTAAATGATTTGGTTCATTATTTCAGCCTTCTGCTATCCAGATGCTATACTAGCCATTTACTTTGTCTCCAAATTTCTGGGACCTGTGTGGAGAAAGGGGCTCTGACAGCACAATCTGAGGCAGGCCAGGGATGAGGGGTGCTGCAGAGCTGTCCATCAGGCTACTCAGGGCAGTTTTAAAACCATGAGGAACACAACAGGCAGAATTAGAAACAAGGGCCCTTGGTAAAGTCACCAACAAACAGCTCCTGTCAGAGCTGTTTCACTGATGCTACTAGTTTTTCTTTTTTTCTGCTTAACAATATAAAGAACATGGAAAAAGGATTTTCTTGCAGCATCATGGCAAAAAAATACAACTACAGAAAAGCTTGACAACTTTATAATAACAGAAAGGTTCATGGTATCTTCTATGTCCATCCCTCCCTTCCCACCAAATAAATAAGTAAATAACAAAAGAATGGAGTATAGATCATTTCTGCTCTACCATATTCTGCGAGTACCCATATTTGCATGCGAGTAAAGTTTAGCTAAAGGTAATACAGAAACGACTGCAGCCATACATTGACAGAGAACTTCCAGAAGTTCAAGCTAGATTCAGAAAAGGACGTGAAATGAGGGATATCATTGCTGATGTCAAATGGATCTTGGCTGAAAGCAGAGTATACCAGAAAGATGGTTGCCTGTGCTTTACTGACTATGCAAAGGCTTTTGCTTGTGTGGATTATGACAAGTTGCGAAGCAAGAGTCAGTGTGAACACTTAGTTGTGCTCATGAGGAATCTGTACATGGACCAAGAGGCAGTTTTTCGAATAGAACATGGGAACACTGAATGGTTTCAAATTAAGAAAGATGTGTGACAGGGTTGTATTCTTTCATCATACTTATTCAACCTGTATGCTGAGCAAATAATCCAGAAGCTGGGTTATATGAAGAAAAATGTGGCCTCAGGATTGGAGGAAGGCTCATTAACAACCTGTGATATGCAAATAATACAACCTTGCTTGCTGAAAGTAAAGAAGACTTAAAAGATTTACTGAAAAAGATCAAAACCACACCCTTTGGTATGGGTTGCATCTCAAAGTAAAGAAAACAAAAATCTTCACCACTGGACTGATAAACAACACTTTTATCAATGGAGAAAAGATTGAAGTTGTCAAGGATTTCATTCTTCTTGGATCAACTATCAACACTTATGGAAGCAGCAGTAAAAAAATCAAAGGATGTACTGCATTAGGCAAATCTACTACACAGGACCTTTTTAAAGGGTTGAAGAGCAAAGATGTCAGCTTGAGAACTAAGGTGTGCCTGACACAAGCCATGGTATTTTCAAAAACCTCATATGTATACAAGAGCTGGACAGTGAATGTGGAAGACCATAGAAAAATTGATGCTTTTGAGTTATGGTGTTGGAAGAGAATACTGAAAGTGCCATAGGCTTCCAAAAGAACAAACAGATCTGTGTTGGAAGAAGTGCAGCCAGAGTGCTCCTTGGAGGCCAAGATGGCCAAACTTCATCTCTCCTACTTCGGACATGTTGTCTGGAGGGACCAGTCACTGGAGAAGAATATCATGTTTGGTAAGGTAGAGAGTCAGAGAAAAAGGGGAAGATCACCAGAGAGATAGATTGGCAATATGGCATCATCAATGGGCTCAAGTGTGTCTACATTAGTGAGGTTGGCCCAGGACCCAACAGTGTTTCATTCTGTTGTGCATAGGGTCACTATGAATTGGGACAGACTTGATGGCACCTAAGAACAACAACAATGCTCTGGGGAAGTGGTAAGTATGTCTATCAACCTACTTTGTTTTATAAAATGAATGAGGGAAAAACATTCTAGAAGTTTTATCAACATAAAACCATCTTAAACATAAAGACTGGCATCAAATACAATGAAGTTAAAAATGCCACATTTCTAGAGTAAAAGTTTCACTTTTATTCAGATTTAACCAAGTTAATTTACTACTCTGCAACAAAAAAAATTTTTAACCGATGAAATAAAGGCACATGCAACTGAAGACAATCTGATTTTCCTTTATTGAATACTGTCCCACACCCAATATTTACATATATAATTAAACAAAATTTATAATACTAGCATGTATATGTATAACATTTAAAAATTTAATCTGAAATAATTTCAATGAAAGTCATGAATATATGTTTTGATACAATAACTCAAATTGAAACTCCTTAGCCAATATCCAAGATGGTTTATTTCATAAAAATTACATTTTCAAGAAGAGAGATGTCTGAGGAAATACAAAAGATTTCAGAAAAATATTTCTATATCTATTCATAGTCTTCCAATTTTCTGTAAAAGAAATCAGTAACAGTTACAAACACTCTGGCCAGTATAAATTAAATCAGCAATTTTAACTGTCTAATTATTTGCTTTAGTGCCATAATTAATTATTAGCATAGAAAGCCTTTATCATGTAGTTTTAAATATTTTTCTCATGTTTAAGAAGAAATAAACAATTCAAATGCAAAACCAGTGTTTAAATATAGCTTTTAAAGGAGTAGTGCAGCATGTGGCCACTCATTTTTCCCTTGAGTCTCCATTTTAGGGAATATCAAACCAAATCAAAACCCTAACCCTAACAACCCTATGCAACAGAGTAGAACTGTGCCTTAGTGATTCTGAGACTGTAGATCGTTTACAGGAGCAAACAGTCACATCTTTCTCCTGCAGAGTGGCTGATGGGTTAGAACTACTGACCTTGTAGATAGCAACCCGGTGCTTAGTCCACTGCACCACTAGAGTTCAACATGGACAGAAAAGATAAGGAGGTCTACTAACTAGTGTGATGATCATAGACGCCGGCTGCTTTCAAAGACACTGTTTACTCTTGCACGTGTGAGAAAATAGCAGCAGCACGCTGACTAATGAACCAAACATCTGTAGCCAACAACATTTTCAATATGTTGTTGTTTGGTGCCTTTGAGTCAGTTCTGACTCATAGCAACCTTGTAAATCTATAAATATTTAGGGAAGCAGAAAGCTGGTGGGTTTGAACAGTGCTTATCCTACAGCACCACCAGTTGTAGGCTGGTAACATAGAAGATGGAAGGAGGGGGCATTATTTTCTCAGCATATATAAATGGTGGACTCCTGGTGTAGCCTGTAGGCTCAGCATTGGACTTCGAATCACAAGGGTGGCACTTCAGATCCACTAGTTACTCCTAGGGAAACCCTATACAGGGTCGCTATGAGTTGGAACCGACTCAACAGCACTTAACAACAGCAACAACAACAACACAAATGATAGGCATCTCTCACTGGTTTTCTGTGTGCTAACTGTCTATATACAGAATTTTAAAAATATAATATTTCTGATTTTACTATCGGCTGTGTCATACCATTTCAAAAATGTCAAAGATAAATAAATCAGTGGGTCAGTGATAGCAACTTCTATATTAAAATCCTGGAAGACTAACTTAATAATATTTGAGGGAATTGATTTTTGCTAGTATAAAACTATGAAAGGAGCTGGAATATATGACTTAGAAAATCATAATGATTAATACCACTTGTTATCGACTATCTTTAAAACATTACTTCACCAAAAAGGTTCTAGCATTGATGGTACAATACTAGCAATACTTGACTACTAGCAGAAATGTTAGAGGTTTGAATCCATCCAGTGGCTCCTTGGAGCCAGGTCTGAAGATCCGCTTCTGAAAATTTACTGCCTACGCAGCGCAGTTCTACTCTGCACACAGGAGGCAGCCAGGAATTGGAAATGTCACAAAAGAAACTAGTTAACAATGGATGGTGGCAGTACTGTGTTTTCTTTTTTGATTTATTTTAAAGTAAAAATTTCCCTTTATTTACAATAAATAGACTTCTTTGTTCAACAAAGTTATTATTTTCAGGTAATTTAAAGTAAAATGTCTGAGTGTTATGAATCATCACATACTGTAAATCGCTGGAGTCCATATTAATGATGCTTGAGGAGCCATTTTTAAATAACAGAAACTAGCTCTGGTAGCATAGTGGTTATGAATCAGGCTGTGAATCTTAAGGTCAGCAGTTCGAAACTACCAGCTGTTCTGTGGGAGAAAGATGAGGTGTTCGCTCCTGTAAAGATTTACAGCCTTGGAAACCCTGTACAGTCGGAACCAAGTCCACAGCACATAACCACCAGCACCACCACCCCTACTCATGAACAGTTTTAAAAGCTGATAAAAACACACCCAAAAGAGGATACTAGTTGGAATTATGGTGTGATGTATATGGTATAATGCAGATTTGTAATCTAAGCCAAGACAGAGAGAATCTGCATCTCCTACTCAATGTTAATACATACATCGGCTTCATATCATCAAACAATGTTTGTGCTGAATGGATTTCTGTTAAATTCTATTTCTGAAATACTCATTTTGTTCTGAAAGTTGGCATTTGCCAAAATACAACACACTGATAAACTTTGCTCCTGGGTTAATAGCACATTAACATCAGAGATTTAAGTGCTGTTGTTGTTAAGCGCTGTTGAGCTATTTCCAACTCAGTATTTCTGAGGCCGTGAATCTCTGCAGGAACAGAAAGCCTTATCTTTTTCCTGCAGAGTGTGCTGGTGAACTTAAACCACCAACCTGTGGTTCAGTCCAGTGCTTATCCTACAGAGACACTGTGCTTCCAGAATATGTGATTGTGCTCTCAAGGTCCAGAGCATACCTACCTATGTGGTCAATAGTTGATCATTTTCCGAAGGGCATCATAGCACTTCCATTTGTCTGGGATGTAAAATGGTTCAAAAATATGAGGAAATGGTGTGTCATACCCACATACTCTTGATATAGGAGCCTCTAAATTCAAGAAGCACTCTTCCTGCACAGAAAAATACAGATGATTTAACTTCAAGAATATTCCTTTAAATTTATAGAAATAAAACATTTTCTCTTAAAATAATTAACAACTTGAAACACAACTGTATCCCAGGACATTAAACTATTTAAATACCTCTTACAGTACAAAAAAGTAGGTAACAGCATATTTAACATGGTCCTAAGTTTTCTTAAACAATACAGTTTTCTATCATGTAGATATATCACATGCCTATGCAATGCTTAATCCAAACCAGGTGCATACCAAACATGGCTGTTCTATAAAGATAAATGTTAAGAAATAATAAAATCACAATACAATGTTCACAGTGGTTAACTCTGGGGCTTGAAATTAATGGTATGTTTTCCTATGTTTTATGAATATATATATATATATATATATATATATATATATACACTGAGCATGTATGACTTTCATAATAAATATTTTTAATTACTTTCCACTCCAAGATATATATATATATATATACACTGAGCATGTATGACTTTCATAATAAATATTTTTAATTACTTTCCACTCCAAGTAGAGAGAGCTTCTGTCAATGCGTTTCTCTTTGTCTGTCTGTCTGTCTCTCTCCTGGCCAAGTTTTTATAAATATGATTGATCCTGTGTACAATCATACTCCAAACCTACTTCTCTCTGCCTAATATGTACTCATCTTTCTGGTGTCACTTTGAGTCACCTCTCCCAAAAGTCTTCCTTGATAACACCTCCCTAACCTCATACTACTGATGAGGAAAAGAGCTTCTGCCCTGAACCCCATCAGAATTCACTGGAGGCACTCAATTGTCTTCCCAGGGAGACGGGTGAAACATGAAGAGGTTGGTAAGATGGTTCAAAAATATAAAACCCCAATCATATAGAACCCTGAAGGAAGATTAGGCAAAATACTTAGTGAAATATTTCAAATTCAAATTTGAAAAAGAAATTTTTAGACAGTTGATAAATTCATCTAAATGAGAGATTTTATTGTTGTTAGGTGCTATTAAGGCAATTACGACTCATAGTGACCCTGTATAGGGTTTCAGAGGCTATGCATCTTTATGTGAGCAGAAAGCCTCATTTTTTGTCCGTGGAGTGGCTGGTAGGCTCGAATTGCCAACCTAGTGGCCCACAGCCCAGTGCTTATCATATAGAGCCACCATGTTCCCAAATGAGAGTTGTTGTTAAATGCCTTTGAGTCAATTCCAACTCATAGTAACTTCAGTAAAGGGTTCTCCAAGGAGCAGCTGGTTGAGTTTGAACTGCCAGCCTGGTGGTCCACTACTGGTCCTATAATCCCACAAGAGGACTTCAAATGAGAGATTGTTATGTGTCATCGAGTCGTTTCTGATCCATAGCGACCCTGTATAGGGTTTCCGAGGGTGTAAATCTTTATGGGAGTAGAAAGCCTCATCTTTCTCCCGCGGTGCAGCTGGTAGTTTCGAACCGTTGACCTTAAGGTTCGCAGCCCGATTCATAACCACTACGCTAAATGAGAGATAGATGATAAAAATACAAGGAAAACAATATTAAGTTTTCCATCCACAACTATTACCTGTGAAATAAAACTTTTGTTTGTTTATTCATATATTTATATGTTGTCTTGCTTCGTAAAGGATTTGAATAGGCGTAACTTTCCTTACACACAGTCCTAACTATATTTGGTGCATTTGCATTATAGACTTGGAGAATACAAAAAGTACCATGGACTGTCAGAAGAACAAGCAATGGGCTTAAACGTAACGACTGTGAGGATGGCACGAGACCAGGCAATGCTTCGTTCTGCTGTGCATGTTGTTGCTATGAGTCGGACACATTCCTTGGTACCTAATAACAACATATTTTGAAATTTCCATTTGAGCAGCAATTTTTACAAAAAGGAATCCTACTACTTCCTGTTCAATTCCAACCACACATTCATTTTTTACAGTGATAGTGCAATGGGGCTAAAAGGCCACAGGATGGAACAAAAACTTCTTTCGTAGTGAACTAGCTAGATATTCACAGTCTTCTCCCTACCCATGGTGACGTATAATATCTAATATCCAGTAAGTATTTGTGTTCCCTAGTTAGCAGAAAATCTACATTAGCAATGATAGAGGTTTTAATATATATGGTTCAAAGAGTCACTTAAGAGAATTGAGTATTAACATGCTCAAAAAAAAGATGACTGATTACTTGGAATGCTTGATTGCATTAAGACATTTTAAAAAGCTTTAAATTGTCAACTTAAGACTAACTAGTTTTATAACTGTAGCTGACACAAGCTGTTTTTTATTTTCCCCAAATATTGCATTTTTCATTAAAAAAAACAAACAAAACTGTACACAGATACACCAAAATACAGAAAATCAAGGGCAAAATACTTCATTCCATATATCTGATTTCACACCAGCTATAAAATATTGTTTTTCCAAACTAGTAACCTGGAAAGCTGGCATACCATAAAATGCTGTGGTAAAATGATGCTGCTAAAAATCACTCCTTTTAGAATAATTACTACCATTATCAAACTAAAGAGGAGGTTTAAAATTCTTCTTCTAATAGTAATGCTCTTACTTCTTCAAGTATGTGAGAATCATTCTTTCTAGGAATACACCTACACATTTGTAAAGACACAGGAAAAAAACAACTAGAAAAATCACACTTGAACCATAAATACTCAACAGTGGTTATCTTTGGAGAAGCAAGGAAATGCAAGACTCTACTGTGAACTTTATATGCATTGTCTGAGTACTATGAGACAGATTGCTTTTTTAAGCAAATGACAATAATAAAATGAGTAAAAAATCATTTTTTACACAAAGCAGTTTTTATTTTGTTACATAAATGATGATTTTACTTATAAGGCTTTCTTATCAGAAACCAACAGTCCACTGCCATCAGGCTGACTGAGACTCAAGGCGCCCCCTAGAGGACAGAGTAGTACTGCTCCGTACAGTTTCTGAAATTGCAAATCGGAGATTGCAAAAGATGAGATAGTCCCAGCTTTCTCAAGTGGCGTGGCTGGGTTTGAACTGGTGACTTTGCAGTTAGTAGTCAAATGCTTAACCCACTGCACCATAAGGGCTCCGTAGGGTTTCTTTAATTTGAGAACTCTGACCATAAATTATACAGATTTAAATGATTATGAAACACTTGTTGTTGTTGTTGTTAAGTGCCATCGAGTCGGTTCCGACCCATAGCGACCCTGTACAGGGTTTCCGAGGGTGTAAATCCTTACGGGAGTAGAAAGCCTCATCGTTCTCCCGCGGAGCGGCTGGTAGTTTCGAACCGCTGACCTTAAGGTTTGCAGCCCGATTCGTAACCACTACGCTACCAGAAACACTTGTTGTTGTTGTTGTTATGTGCCGTGGAGTCGGAACCGACTCATAGCGACCCTGTACAAGGTTTCCGAGGATGTAAATCTTTACGGGAGTAGAAAGCCTCATTTTTCCCCCAGAAACACTAGGTGATATAAAATGTCAAAATCATTTAAGATAATTCAAGGGTATATGAAAAAAGACTATGGATGGAGTGCTCATTTTCATAAGTTTATACCCTGACTGATTGGACAGTTTGAAATTCTAATGCCTTGCCAATTAAAGCATGCTAAATAAGAGGTTTAAAATATTTCTTCTAAAAACATTTTTAGAATTTCTGTCAAAGCAATTTGGATCAAGTAGCTGAGCACTCTTAATTCCCATACAAATGCTTTACATGTGCTTATATGCTTTTTCTTATCATCAAGATGTGCTGATAATTACTGGTGATGGAATGCTTAAGTTGGAAACAAAGATGTCTCTGTAGTTGTAAAAGATGGTCTTGATGATAGAAATGATACTGCTGGGCACACGATAAAATTTTGCAAGACCAATGACCTAGTCATTGGAAATACTTTTTCAACAACATACATGTGGACCTCACCAGATAGAATCTATAAGAAACCACATTATATCTGTGGAAAAAGACAGTGAAGAAACTCAACATCATCAGTCAGAACAAGGCCAGGGGACAACTGCAGAACAGACCATCAACTACACCTATGCAAATTCAAGTTCAAGCTGCAGAAAATTATAACAAGTTCACAAAAGTCAAAATGTGACCATGAGTATATTCCATATGAATTTAGAGACCATCTAGATTTGATGCATTGTACATTAATGACATCAAATACATTATATGTGAAGAAAGCAAAAGGTTGTTAAAAAGACAGGAAGGAAAGAAAAGACAAAACAGATGTCAGAAAAGACTCTAAAACTTGCCCTTGAGCATAAAGTAGAACACAGAGTAGCTAGAATGAATAAGAAGATTTCACAGGGCTGCTCAAGAAGACAAAAGTTTTATAATGAAGTGTGCAAAAGACCTGAAGTTAGAAAACCAAAAGGGAAAAAGACTTTTGGCATTTCTCAAGCTGAAAGAATTGAAGAAAAAATTCATGACTTGAATAACAATAATGAAGGATTCTATTGGTGAGATACATACTGATAGAGGAAACATCTCAAACACATAGGAGGAATATATAGTCACTGTACCAAAAAGAATTGTGTGATGTTCAAACATTTCAGGAGGTAGCATAAGACGCTCTGGTTACGTTTGGGCTACTAACCTCAAGGGTAGCAGTTCGAAACTACAAGCTGTTCTGTTGGGAAAAGATGAAGCTTTCTGCTCCTGTAAAGATTTACAGCCTTGAAAGTTCTATGCAGGGTCGCTATGAGTCGGAACTGACTCCACGGCACGCCACCACCACCATATGATCAAGAACTGATGGTATTGAAGGAAGAAGTCCAAGTTGCACTGAATGCACTGGCAAAAAACAGGGTCCAGGAATAAACAGAATATCAGCTGAGATGCCTCAACAAATGGATGAAATGGTGGAAGTGCTCACTAGAGTATGCCAAGAAATTGTGGAAGGCAGCTATCTGGCCAACCAACTGCACAAGATCTATGTCTATGGCCATTCCAAAGAGAGGTGATGCAGCAGAATGCAGAAAACATCTAGCAATATCATTAATATCACT